GGTTCTCTCTCTCTCTCTCTCTCTCTATATATATATATATATATTATTTAGTATTTTTTTATTTTAACATTTATGTTAGATTTTTATATAAAAAAAATAATCTTTATTTAAATTTTTTTTTTTTAACATTTTGTGTGTTTTCCCTCTTTATTTTTTATGTAATTTTTAATTACATTTACATTTACATTCAGACATTTAGCAGACGCTTTTATCCAAAGGAACTTACAAATGAGGACAATGGAAGCAATCAGCAAAATGATTAGAGAAGCAAGTGTTCGTTTTTTTTGTTTTAAGAAAACAAGCAGTTGGTAAATAAATAGAGTGCAAGTCTAAAAAGGGCAAGTTTTTTTATTTGATTTTTTATTTGATAAAGAATAGAATTAGAATAGGGAGTGTTAGTGTTAGAGGGTCAAATAAAGATGGAAGAGATGTGTTTTTAGCCGATTCTTGAAGATGTCTAAGGACTCAGCTGAGTTGGGCAGGTCATTCCACCAGGACGGAACATTTAATTTAAAAGTCCGTAAAAGTGATTTGTGCCTCTTTGGGATGGCACAATAAAGTGATGTTCACTTGCAGAACGCAAGCTTCTTTAGGGCACATAAGTCTGAAGTAATGAATTTAGGGGACTTTGACGACTTTAACTGATTACTTAAGGGGTGCAGAGCCAGTGGTGGTTTTGTAGGCAAACATTAATTCCTTGAATTTTATGCGAGCAGCTATTGGTAGCCAGAGCAAATTGATAAACAGAGGTATCACGTGCATTCTTTTCAGCTCGTTAAAAATTAATCTTGCTGCCGTGTTAATTCATTTTAAAGGTTTGATAGAACTGGTTGGAAGACCTGCCAAGAGAGCATTGCAATAGTCCAGCCTGGACAGAACAAGAGCTTGAACAAGGAGTTGTGAAGCATGTTCCGAAAGAAAGGGCCTGATCTTCTTGATGTTGAATAAAGCAAATCTGCAGGACCGAGCAGTTTTAGCAATGTGGTCTGAGAAAGTCAGCTGATCATCAATCATAACTCCAAGGTTAAGAACTGAGCCCTGAGGCACCCGAGTAGTTAGATGTTGTGACTTGGACACCTCACCTCTCCAAGATATCTTGAAGGACCTATCTGAAAAATAAGACTCCACTGGAACCATTCCTGAGATGCCCTTTGCCAATAGGGTTGACAGGGGGATCTGGTGGTTAACCATATCAAAAGCAGCGGACGGATCCAGCAAGATAAGTATTGAAGATTTGGAAGCCGCTCTTGCCAGTCTTAGGGGTCAACAACTGAGAGCAAGGAAGTATCGGTTGAATGTCCACTTCTGAAACCAGACTGCTGTCGAGGAGGTTGTTCTGTGTGAGAAAGGCAGAGACTTGGTTGAACACAGCTCGTTCAAGTGTTTTTGCAATGAAAGGAAGAAGGGAAACTTTGATTTTGACAAATGTTGATTTGGTGTCAGTGTAATCTGGCTGTGTTTTTTGACATTGCAGGATGTCCAACAAACTCAAGCTGAAACTGGTGTATTTGGTGTTTTTCTTTTTTTTCCTAGTATGGCATTAGATTTAGTGTGACGGCAGTTGACACAGATTTGTGTAACAGATGTGTCATGATTTCACAGGTGTTCATGAGAAACAGCAGATGGTTTGAACCACAAATCTGTTTCTTCAGTATGTGAATTTGAGGGATTCAGAGTACAAGAGGCAGTGTGATCAATATGAGACGTCACTGATCTTCCCCGGCTCTTGATGCTCATGTGAGTAGATGACTATCGGTAATCATTCAACAATGACGACTTCATTTTCTAGGGTGCTTTGTTAAAATGTCAAAATTATGAAACAATCTAATCTTTCAATGAGAGACAGAGCCCACGTTTACACGCGTAAGCATATTTCTGTTTTAATCTGAATATGATTATATTTATTTCAATGCATTAAACTGATTGCAATAATCCAATAAAGCCAAAACTCCTAATGAACATGCATAAAGGAAAAATCGCAATGGTTTCTAAATAGATTTCTTTCAGAATAAAGGCTTAATTTGTATGTTGTGCATGTAAACGTGGTCATGAAAATGTCTAACATCAGCTTTTCTTGCACATTTGGAGAAGCCGTGGTGAGATGCTCTAAAGGCCGACTGCTTTTGCACTCCTTCAGCCTCTGGAGACTTTTATATTGAAGGCTTTTAGAGAGCTGTAGCAGTAATTCTTCAGCTCACTGAGCATGATGATGATGACACATGCAGCGCTCTGAGACTTAAACAGAGTCCAAGTCATTCACTTGATCAAGTAAGACTTCAGAAGTTTGTGTGTGTGTGTGTGTGTGTGTGTGTGT